TATATATATATATATATATATATATATACTTGTTCATGATAATAATAAAGTGAATTTTTAGTGTGAATATCACGAATACAAAAAGGATAGGAAAGATTTTTATGTCTGTGAATTCGAGAATGGCCCAGTTATGCCTCACATGATTGTTATGGTGGGACACTTCTATTTTTTGACTTGTTATAAGTCTGAAATAATTTTTTCTGAATATGTATGATATTATGTTGCAGTTGGAGAAATTCGTTCGTTCTAACCCTAAATTTAACGAAAAGTCTTCAATACTTGGTCAAATTGCTGGGCGTTTCAATTGCTCAGGAATGAACGATGTGGCTGGTCTTGACAAGATGGCAAACTTCAGTTCTTTTGAGTTTCGTGTTGGATCTTGTTTCAAGGTGTAGCATTCAGTTGCTGGATTTAATCGCAGTTAGTCAATTATATCTTTACATATTTGAAATATCTTTTTGATGTGCTTGGATAAGAAATAGTTTATTACAGTTAGTCAAATGGTGTCTTTGCATAAATTTGCTTTCGTAGAAGCGACAGGGTTTTGTGATGTAAGCAGATCTGTTCGTGTTATTCTCATTATATACATCAATCACTGATTTTCCTGCCATTTTGTGATTTGCAAAATGTCTTTCATTACTATTTGAAAATCTATATTTCTATATAGTTACCAAATCAAATATTCAAGATACTTGAATATTGTTCATCTGTTATTATTTCTTTACCTGTTATGGTTTCAGATTTATGAAACATGTGAGAAGTTTGTTTTAGAGTTTTGTTCATTTGAATTTGAGCGCCAATTTTCATTTGTTTTCGTGTTTATCTGACTTGTTATTCTCTTTTTATTTCTGAGAAATGGTATTGTTTTGTAATGAAATATTCTCAATATAGCAGTTTGATATTTTGAATTATTTTTATTTATACTATTTCATAAAAGGAAATGCTAAGCAAATATGCTGCACAAGTTCGCTTCCTCTTCCTCATATTAAAATCCGTTTGCTGATGAAAAGGAACATGCGAAAAATATTGAAAGAAATTCTCTATGATAAAGGTCCTTCATCAGACAATTGGATCGGATCGCAGTAGTTGTCGTCAGAAATCAGTGAATTCTGCAAAGTATCCTATGTCAGAAGATTTGGTCAATTATCCTTTGCTTTTTGGTTCAACAACTTATTGGTTCCATATCGGAAATTTTTGTATTATACCGATTGTGAGTTGAAGATCGGTCAAGTGTATTCACTGATGTATAGTACAAAAGCTTAAATAGGAAGCAGTCATCTGCACTTAGTAGAGTAATAGTAGTTTAAGTTTCCGCTTGATGAAATTTGTCCACAGTATATTTGATGACTGGAATTGGTTCGGATGTATTTGTTAATATATAAATATGTAAGATCAAGAGATGATCACTGTAGTGCAAATGCGATAATTGCGTGTAAGAGTGATAACGCTGTTGCATCAATCTAGAAATGAATGGTAGATTTGTAGGTCATAAATGTGTTTCGAAGAAAGTAATGATAATGGAACTCACTCCAGCAAATGTCCAACTTTCACTCCAGTGTAAAAATGAGTAGTCAATTGAGTGATGGAATTCGGTAACTGCAGAAATGCCAGCAAATAATGAGCATGCAACTGCAGTTGGCATTTCCTGAACTGCAATTTGTGTTAGCAAATTTATATTCTTGCATGCAATAAAATTTGTGAAACGTAAATATATTGTTATGATACTACTATTGCTAGAGGTTTTGATAAATTGTTAAAAGCAATGATGAATTTGATTTGGAAAGACATAATGATACTGGTGCGATTTACTGTCTCATACAATTCGCTGAACTAAGTCGAATAATTTTTCACATTAAAAGCAATTCTATCAAATTTATCCACATGATATTGCTCGTTAGATGAACTTAATACACTTTAAAAGTGTTTTCATAATTCTTAGTAGTATGAAATCGTCAATGATTTATTTGCTTAAAGCTTCAATTGCAATTAAAACTTACGAATCGACCATAAGATTGTCTTATTTCACTTTTTTTAAATACAGAATTAGCTAATAACCAGGTAAGAGATAAAAGTAGAATAAGCATTGCCGTACACATCACAAACACCTGGAATGTTTGGTAACTACTAGACAAGCCATTTCCATTATTTTCCTTCACTTTATTCTCGCTACCTTCTACATGATGCACTGATTCCTGAAATATGTAAGCTGCTTAGTGAGTAATATATAATCACAAGAGTGAATTCAGAGTTATCAAAAGTGACCTTTTTAATCTCTTAAATTGTTACTGTAATGATTTGAAATTAAATCATCTAAAAATTGAACGATAAGTAATCTTACAATGCAAAAGTGTGTATACATCTTTGCTTTCATGCTTTTTCTATCATTCAAATGCTTTAACTTTTCGTTAATTTTTTGCAAGTATTTTGGATAAAACATTGCAGTCACAAAGATAAACTAATAGATAAAGAAAAGAAAGTTTAGTTCATTTATTTTCCGTTTTTTATTATATCAAAAAATTTAATCAAACAGCTCGATAATTCTAATTTCACTATTAAAATTATCAAATTTGAACTTTGCTTTCTTAAAAAAAAGAATATTGCAGATTGTTGTTACTTAGACAATAACAATTTTTGTAAATTCTGTTATAAAGCTGATAATTTTTTAAATCTACTAAATTTACTGACATGAACATATTGGCGATTTTTTGAAAACCATAGTGACCATCGCTTTGAATATTGCGAATATACTCCAGAGTAATAGCATAAAAGAAGGGAGAGAATCTGCAAATCGCATTTTAATTGCATTTGCAGTAAAGTAGTACATCGCAAGACCAATGCAAATATTTTCTCAAGATTTACATAATAGGTGATTGTTTTTAACTTGTCATTTTTTTGTTTCTCTTAATAGCATAAAATTTACTCAACAATTTGTATATCATAGATCACATTCGTTATCATATTATGATAAAATACAATCGAATAAAAATAAGTAATTATTTCGGATATGCAAATCAATATTCTAGTCTAATTTAATTATTCAGATAAGTTCAAATTATTTGTCACAAGTAAAGTTATAATTTTATATTGAAATTTGATTTTTAAAACTGAAGTTAATTAGCAGATATGAAGACAACAATATTATAGTTTCAATATTTGATGTTAAATAAGTTGTGAAAAATAATTAATTATTTAGTCAATTTCCATTTTTTATCGTTAATTAGCTCATACATACTTAATTATAATTGTAAAAAGTTTAAATTGCGTAGCACAACTTAAATTTGTGAAATCATATTATTTAAATTTTATATGCAGCAAATTTATTCAAAACTTTAATAATCTGACATCATAGATATTAATAATTGAATTCAAGCTTATTATCAAGTTAATAATTCAGACTTAATAAAAAGGTTAATTTATTTGATTCATTGTAAGCAGAAATTGTTAGTGTGCCTGCAAAAGTTGCAATAATTAACATTTTATTATTATAGAAATATGGCAAATAAAAGAAAAGTGGAGAAGTCATATATATATATGCATATGAAGAATTAAAGAAAAGTATGAAGCAACGTTTAAAATTGTTTACTCACGATTAACAACTTTTTTATTTTTAATACTTATCATCGTTTTCGTGTTTATACGAACTATTTGACAAATAGATATAAAGTAAGTGAAAAAAAAAGTGAAAAAATAAAAGATATGATTTAGTAAAGTAAGCAACTAACGCAAAAAAAAAGTTATGCTAAGCAATTCATAAATTTTTATATGTAACAATTTTTGAGCAATTTTTTTATCAACAGAGAATATGATATGCACTATGCTGTTGATAAGTAAAATTTTCTATTCATAGTTGTATTATTTGCTTACAAACAAATACAAACTCATAAACATAGCTGGCAAAATTTTCAAAATATTTTCCAAACATTTATTCATTTTTTAGCATTGATGTCAGTTTTTACTTTTTAAATTCGTTCCTTGTCAAAGTTGATTACTATCATATCAGATTATTTCTTAAATTTGTTACAAAATCTTTTTTATCAGAATTATTATTATATTTTGTAATGTTTGATAGGAAGTTAATAATTTAAATTTGTGCACAATTAAAATTTTATTTATGCTAATAAATAATTACTGCTTGTTTGATTAAAAGTAATCATTGCTTGTTTGCATGAATATTATCTACTAAGAAGAAACTATTTGTTGAATAATTTATCTCATTATTGAATAAAATTAATTTTAATTTATATACAAATATTACTTTAATTAAAACTACTAATGTTGTAGTACTGCTATTTTCGTTACTATTATTATCACTAATTGTAATTGATGAAAAAAATGTTGATAAAATTAATTAAACATATGGATAGTATTATTATTATTGTGAAGACTTATTTCAAACTCTGTTAATGAATTTGTATTTGAAATAGAAAACATAGTTATTACTACAATTCGTATTATTTTTATAAAATGTATCAAGAGAAATAAATGACTTACAATTGAAACGAAATATAAGAAAACAAGAAATTTTTCTCGAGTTCGCATTAATCCCATTTTCTTTCAGTATTGACATATGCAAATTAACCAAAACAATTTGCAAAATATTATCATTCAATCAATTTCATACTGTATCCATGGCGACAACAACTTCAAATTGTTCCAACTCTTTTTAGTACATGAAAAATAATTGATTAATAAATTGTTTTTATTAGCATACATCGATGAGATCATATCTTTCAATACACTACAAAAGCATTTAAGCTATTTTATTAATAGCTATAAATATTCATTTTAGTAAATTAAAACTTTTTTAATATTTTAAAACATGTAAAAGTTTGCAATTAAATAATTTGCTTTTGAGCAATTTTTGTGACACAAATTGCTAAAAAAAGTTTGATAAAATATAAATGAAACTTCAGAAGCACTTTTACAACATGAATTTTTAGATGTGAAAGAAATAAAAAATCTGATCATATCAATGAATTTTTTGAGATTAAACATTTGATAATTATAACTGATAAGTTTTTTATGAAAATTTTTGCAAGTTTTTTTTAGCTTTATATGTCTTTTAAATAATGACAGCAATGATTCATTCAATTATTGAAGGAAAAACTTTGAAAAAAAAATTACTAAGCAATAAATTAACCAAAAAAACGATGTACATCTATTTGATTTTTCTTTGACATTTTATGAATGCATGCTGAGAAATCATTCATCAGTTTATTTATCCAAGCAATTTGTTTTTATTTTTAATTTTTGCTAAAATATTCCTGATTTTATTAATAACCAAAAACTCTTTCAATAATAAAATAAAGCTAACTCATGAAAAATTATCCCTTTCCAGACTATTAACTTTATCTTTTATTACTTTCGCTTATTCTTTTACTACTTTTGTTTTTTTTTTGAATTTTTATTAATCCATTTATTTTAAATTATGTTCTATTTAACAAATAAATATTTCAGTTATTAATTAAAATAATTGCAAGAAGGAAAGAAAAATAATTATAGGCAATAATTATGGCTGAAAAAAAGTTTTGCAGTATGTCTAAAGCAGCAAAAGGTAAACCGCAATGAATTTTAAACTAAAATACTTTTAGAATATTCTGTTCTAATCTTTTGTATAACTAATATTTACTGTACTTAATTGTGAAGTAATAGTAATAAATTTATCTATTAGTAATAAATTGTCAAGTAATAGTAATAAATAAGCATGAAAAATATATTACTTTCACATTAATACGTAGCTATCAAAAGAAATAAGTTCATATAGCTGCGAAAAATTCAATCTGATTGCATAAAAATGTATATTTATACATATATCAAATTGAAGAAAAG